TATATCTAATCAGCCAATAATATATTCAGTGATCATTACCTTTTCTTCTTTATTATTCCGAGTGATAGCTGAAAAAAAAAATGACGCCATTATAACATCTTCCTTTTCTAATTGTTATTGATGGCCTGATTAAAATTCCTCAACGCTAGATGACACATTGAGAGAAACTAGCAACATCCCAACCTCTTTAATCATTTCTAAGATTAGGCTTTGCGCATTTATAAACACAATTATGAAGAGATGGGCCTAGAACATTTAAATATACTGTACAACATCACGCGCGAATCTCCTGATAGAAAACAACGAGAAGGCGATACTTTAGCAGAACTTATAGTTTGGTGCTATAAACCCAGGAACTAAGAGCGTTACCAAATAAAATAAAATCTCTTGTACGGTTCCAACAACAACAAAAAATGGGTATTATAAGTAACTGAAAGAGAAAATAATCAAGATCTTATTAGAGATCACAAATTTAATTAAGGCAATAATTATAATTAATACTAGAAAGAGCGATAACAGTTAATGGACGGGAAATATATAATTCCCTGAAAAACTATTTGAGGAAAATAATATTTTATGAATTTCAATTGACAATAACATGAACTGTTCCTGTATGAAAACGGGTAATTTTATAATTTACATTACAATCTTAAAGTTAATTCTGTTTAATCGACATTGAACATAGTTTTTTTTTATCCCTCTCATCTATGGATGCAGTATATATGTAAGGCAATAAAAAATTCATAGACATTGATTAATCTATTAGGTTGATCAGATAGTCCTGACTCAGAAAGCGGAAAGAAAACAACAAAACTTGATCTCGATCTGGGGGAATTTCCAAGTAGTACTTCATTTTGAACTTGTTCCACATGATCACCCCATCAACGCTGAACTCCGTCCTGGGTAAGACGTTAAACTATATCCGTGTCCTGGGTAAGACATTAAACTACATCCGCGTCATGGGTAAGACATTAAACTACGTACACGTCATGGGTAAGACATTAAACTACGTCCGCGTCCCGGGTAAGTCGTTAAACCACATCCGCCTCCTGGGTAAGACGTTAAACTAAGTCCAGCAGCAATACATTTTTGATAACCAAATGTTGCGTTTTTGTAAGGAGAAACCTAAAAAAAAACCTTAAAACACAAAGTAATCCAATGAACAAAACAGGAAAACAATGATCACATATACACATAAGATACTTAAATGGATCTGTAGAGGAATAAATTAAAAATTATTACCAGAAATACATTTTTGAAAGAAAAAATATTACCAGAAATAAATTTTTGAAAGAAAAAATATTACCAGCAATACGTTTTTGAAAAGATATGCCAGCTATACGTTTTTGAAAAATACTATAACCAGCTATACGTTTTTGGAAAAATACTATTACCAGCTATATATTTCTGAGCAAATAGATATTGATAGAAAAGGATTTCTAACAAAACAAAAATATTACCAGAAAAAAAGTCGTCGGCATTAAATGACCCATTTAGGTTGATATACCGTAAAAAAAAACAAAACAAAGCAAACGTCCAGCAGCAAGGCCTCTGATCAGGAGGTTTTGAGACGCGTGGAACCACTTCTTAATTGCTGGTGTTCCCAGGTCCACCCTAGCCGGGGTGGTAGCACCTGTTAGGATCCCAGCTATGGGCAAATA